AATTAATATTAACTAATAATGAACAAACTTTACTTACAATTATTAGAATATTTAGATATTCTTCTTTTTATATTTCTTTTATGGTAAATAAACGTTGTTTTATTGTTGGTGTTATTAATCTTTTTTGTGAATTAATGCCTAAAATTTTAAGTCTTCCATCTACATTAGTTTTTAATAGTTCAATGCATTTAGTTATATTTTTTTCAACATTATTACCTTCATTACAAGATAAATTATTCTTTAAAATAAATGATATGTTCTTATCTTTATCTTCTTCTAAAAGTTCTTTTTATGCTGCTTTATTAGAACGTTTTTATACATTTTTTATATCTTATTTCTTTCAACTAACAACAAAAACTGATATTCATTTCTTTGATTTGTTTATTCAACATCAACCAATTGATAAACAAATGTCAATTTCAATTAAAAATGATAATGCAATATACACTATTTTTGAAAATACTCTTTCATCACCAAACTCATTTTATATTTTTGGAATTAATACATATAATAAATTAATTAATAAACTTATAATATTAAATCATCATTTACAATCAACTCAAATTCCTATTCCTATAAATCGTTTTAGTTATTATCCTGAAGGAAATGAATTTGAAACTGAAATGACTCAATTATTTATTCAACAATTAAATATTAATAAACCTTTAATTATACAACCAAATCAAAGTATTGAAAATAAAAAACCATTTAATAAAAATTCTAATTTGTTTAAATATTCTTTATTAAATATTTGTATTCAAACATTATTTTCTTCTTCTCAAATTCTTGAAAGTCCAATTACTTCTTTATCTATTTCTTCATTACCACTAACATTGTATCTTTCACCAATTATACCTCCAAGAGATAGTTTGTATTGTAAATCTTTTCTTCATTTATATTCTTCAAAACAAATTAATTTAATTAAATTCCCAAATCAAAAATTAGATATTGTTTTTAAAACTAATGAACATGTCTTTGGTGATGTCGTAGTTAATTTCAAAAGATGTAATGAACAATTATATTCAATTCAACTTACTTCAAAAATTATCATTTTTGTTCATTATTCTTCATTAATTCATTTTATTTCTAATTATCTATTTGAATCATTAATTCAACAAGATTACAATAAATTATTTATTGATATCAATACTATTAATACAACTCTTATTAATTTAAAAACTCAATGTCCTTCGTATGAAGCAATTCTCTTTCCACAAATTCTTAATTCAAAACAACTACCAAATTCTAATTCTAAAACACAAAAATTATTAAATGATGATGAAACTGATTGGTGGGGTGTTCTTGATCAAAATCTTGTTATGTGTAGAAAAGGAAGTTCACCATTAAATATAACATTGCTCCAAACTCATTCAAGAAAACGTTCAAAAAGTTCACCAATTGATAATTGATTATTACTTCTACTTTCTTTTTATTAAACCTAATTTAAATAGTAAAAAATTTAATTTGAAATTTAGTAAACTGGCCCTTGCAATAATAATTCAACAGCAGCATTCACATTTCCTCCAACTCTTTGGAGAGCCCTAAGATTTTCTTCTTCATCAAAAAATCCCATTTCTTTTAATTGATTAATTTGATTGGCATAAACTTCATGAAGATTTCTTTGAACTGGTTGTGCAGTTTGTGGTTGATTTAAACCATTATTTTGAGTAGGTTGTTGTCCAAATAATAAATTAAATGGATTTGGTTGTTGTGCATTTTGAGGTTGTTGGAAATTTGGTTGTTGAGTACTTTGAGGTTGTTGGAAATTTGGTTGTTGAGTACTTTGAGGTTGTTGCATACCAGCCATTCCCATCAATGGATTATTACTAATCATCATTCGTAACAATTCTGGGTTACTAATCATTTGGTCAAACATCATACTAAATTGTGGATTATTCATCATTTGAGCAGTTTGTGGGTTCATCATTAACATAGCCCTCATTGCTTGTGGGTTTTGTGTTAAAAAGTTAATGGCTTGTTCAAGCATTTGTGGGTTTTGTTGTAACATATTCATAGTTTGTTGCATGTCCATTCCTCCCATTCCATTAAAACCTCCCATTCCATTAAAACCTCCCATTCCACCAAAATTAGGTAAAGGCATATTACCCATTTGTGGTTGTTGAAAAGTATTTTGTTCATTGGGTTGAAAAATTGGTTGTGTTGGTTGTGAATTTGGAGTTGGTTGTGAATTTGGAGTTGGTTGTGAAGGGACAGAAGTAGGACTACGTGAACGAACAAGGTGTAATGTAACATTGTTATTAATACCAAGCGTACTTAATACCTCATCATCTTTTAATACTCGACCAGCAAAAATCAATCTAAATTCTCCAACATCTGGTTGTTGGTTGTGAATTTTTTCTTTAATACCAGAGACTGTCATACCATTAAACTCATTATCATCAAATATAATTTCAATTGTGTTTGAAGAATAAGTTAATCGGACATTAATTTTCATTGCTTTAAATTTTTATTATTTTTAAGTTCCTTTTCTTTTTTTATTCTGTTTCTCTGCAAAACTTCAATTAATCCTATTTTTTTATTTTCCCTTCTCTTATATTCAAGTGTTTTTAACTTTTTGTTCTTTTGATAAATTAATCATTATGTCAAATCCTCACTGATAAATCACCACGTATTTTTTTCAATCAAAACTTAAAAATTTTTTTTTTTAAAGATTATATAATAACATAAAAACAAATAACACAAAATATTGATTGGAACAATTAAATTAACTTGGGTTTCATGTGATTTAAACCATTGTTTTTAGTCAAGTTTTCATATGAAGGGTCTATCCTATGTTCTAATCCAATATAACGAATAACACGAGCTTGTTGTGAATAAGAAAGATCACTCAATACTCTTCTCATTAAATTCATTAATTTAACACGAGTTAAACGAACTTTTCTTAATGTTTTTTGTTCTTTTCTGAGTTTGTGTTGTAATACACGATGGTCATGAGTATTTTGTAATGAGCTTAAATCAAGCATATCTCTTTCTGCCTCACGATTCAATCTTCGTTCTATTCTATCAAGTTGTTTAAGTTTATGTTCATACAATTTACATTTTCTCATTACTTGTTTAACTCTAAACCTACACAATTTCCCACTGCACATGTCTTCTGGAGAAATATATTGATTAGTTAATAATGGTGCAGTCATATACATCCCAACAATATCAGCATGACAAAGAATAACAAATAACAAAAAATATAATCCTTTCATTAAGTAAAAAAAATTATAATTTTTATAAGATCAATTCTTTGATTTTTTTTATCTTAACAATTGTATCAATAATTTTCTTAAAAAAATCATTACTATTTTATTTATTTTTATATAATTGTTATTATTTTAGTATTTTTTTTTATAATTTTCTATTATGATAATATTAATCTTCTTATTATTTTAATAAAAACAATTTAATAATAAAATTCTTTATCTTATTCTCATTTTAAATGAAAGTTTAATATAAAAAATGTCTATTGAAATAATAAAAATATGTATAATTATTTTCACTTTATCTATTCTTAATTTATATTTTCAAAAATATATTTCTTCATTTCTTCTATTAAAATATTACTTTCATAAACTTCTTCTTATTATTTTCTTTTAAACACTTTATGTCTGTTTTTTTTTTTTACTTATTTAACTGTTTATTGTTCTTTTAAAAGTGTTTTATTTTTATAGTTTACTATTTAATATTTTTATATCAATTTCATTTAAAGAGACTCTTATTTCAAAAACTTTTTAATAACCAGGTTAGTCTTAGTTTGTATTTTTTAATAATATTGATAAGGATATTAAAAGAAGTGTAGTCAAAAAGCAAACTATTTAATTGGATAACCTTATTTCATAAATTCAATTTTTTAAACAGAACATTAAAAATAAATGAAAATGATACAAGAGTATAAAGACAATTACTGACATATTATTATTATTTAAATTTTTTTTTTTGAGTTTATAAATTTACTATTTTCAAATGCCATCTAAACTCATTCAAATCAATTAAAATTATCTAGAAATTGATTTATTTGTTATATACATCATAAAAACTAAGTAAGACAAAAAGTATTAATAAGCTTTATTCATTAAAACAAGAGAAATAAAAAACAAAAAGTTTTACATTATTGATTTTAATTTTAAATATAAATTACAGAAGCAATAAAAATAGTCACTTGTTAAATCCTTTTCCATTTCAAAAGTTTTTAATTTATAAATTCCTTCTCTTTTAATTTGAAAGTTTTTACTGGGATTAGTGTTTGAAATAATATTTTTTGAGAAATACTATTGATTTGGTTCTTCCCTTTGTTAATCAAATACTAAATTTAAACTTCTGGTTAAAAATGGCATATTTAAAATTTTTCAACAACGATTCTCTCAAAAAATAAAAACACAAATAAATATCAGTCTGTCTACAAAATATTTCAGAAAACTTGAAACTAAAAGAATTTAGTTTCTTATTTCGAATAACATTAATAGAGTTTATATTAATATATGAAGTATACCACAAAAAACTGATACATTATATATATTGTTTAGAGATAAGGAAAATTAATAGACATAAATGTTTATTTTTTCAGAACTCGTTAAGAAAATAATAAAACAAATAATAAGAATAGACAAATAAAACTTACTTCCAAAGAATTAACTGTATTATAAACATAATTTCTCTTATGAATAAAATTTCTCTAATTTTTGGTTTAATCAAAAAATTTTCAAGATAGGTAAGTCTTTTTTGATAAAAAGTACAAAAAAATGAATGAGTGATAAAGAGAAAAAAGATAATTTTTTATGTGTGATAGTTTGCCATTTTGATTTTCATTTATATTTTTGTTTCCTTCCATTAACACTAATTCAAAGAAAAGATAACATTTGACTAATAATATTTATTATAAAAATAAGTTATTGAGAAAAAAAAAGAAAAAAAGAGATGTAATTTTTTTGAAACAAAAAAGACATGGTATTTATAGAAGAAACTGCAAATAAACAAATTAAGAAGATCAATTAATGAGTGACCTTGACGATTTACTTAATTCTCTTAATGACACACCTGCAACTAATCAACAAAATACTCAACAAGATGAACTTGATGATGTACTTAATGCATTAAATGATATGGTTGAGAAGAAAGATACAAATAAACAAAAGAAGGAAGATGACTTAGATGATTTATTAGATTCCCTTGACGCTAAACCAAAGGAAGAACCAAAACCAAAAAAAGCAGATGACTTAGATGATTTATTAAATAGTTTAGATGATAAACCAAAACCTACTTCATCTCAATCTTCTACTAAAGCCACTACTAAAAAAGATGATTTAGATGATTTATTAGATGGTTTAGATGACAAACCAAAACCTACTCCACAACCAGCACAAAAGAAAGATGATTTAGATGATTTGTTGGATGGTCTTGATGACAAACCAAAACCTGCTGCTAAACCAGTACAAAAGAAAGATGATTTAGACGATTTATTAGATGGATTAGAAGATAAACCAAAACCTACTTCACAACCAGCACAAAAGAAAGACGATTTAGATGATTTATTAGATGGATTAGAAGATAAACCAAAACCTGCTGCTAAACCAAAAGCTGCACCAAAAGACGATTTAGATGATTTATTAGATGGTATTGACTCTACAACACCAAAAAGACAATCCAATGCACCAGTACCAATTACAGCTGTTATAAACGAAGATCCAAATATTTGTGCTGAATGTGGACAACCATTAGGACCACAAAGAATTACAGCACTTGGAAGGAGTTATCATCCAGATCATTTTGTTTGTAAGAATTGTAAAAAGCCATTAGGAACTAATCCATTCCACAATGTTGAAAATTCACCATATTGTAAAGATTGTTTCATTGCTAAATTCGCTAAGATATGTGCAAGATGTGGTAAACCTATTACTACTAATTGTGTTAGTGCATTAGGAAAAACATACCATTCTGAATGTTTTGTTTGTACTAAATGTAGTAAACCTTTCCCAACTCCTTCATTCTTCCAAAAAGATGGTAATCCATATTGTGAAGAATGTTATAAAGAAGAATGTGCAGCTAAATGTTCTAATTGTGGTAAACCAATTATTGGACCATCTCTAAGTGCTCTTGGAAAGAAATATCATCCAGAGTGTTTTGTTTGTTCAGTTTGTAAAGCACCATTCCCAAGAGGACAATTTTATAACCTTGACGGTAAACCTGTATGTGCTGAACATTATTCTAGTCATGCATCTACAAATATTTGTGGAAGATGTGGTAAACCAATTGCACCAGGTGTTAGTTTTATTTCTGCTATGGGTCAAAAATTCCATCCAGAACACTTTGTTTGTTCATTTTGTGTCAATCCTCTTACTGAATCCTCCTTTAAAGAAAATAGTGGAAAGCCATATTGCTTCACTTGTTATGGTAAACTTTTTGGTTAATTCACATCAATTTTTTTGATATTTTGTTATTTAAATGAAAATATTCTTTTTTTTTCTTTTATTAACTTATTTTATTTTCAAAATTACTAAATTGTTATGTTTTGTAAGTAAATTTATTGAAAATATTACCTTCTTATTTTATCTTATTTCATTTTTATTTGACAGAACTATTATTCTTTTTTATTTATAAGCAACTTAACTTCCAAACCTTTATGATTTTGTTATTTAATAACCTAACACAAATAAATAAAATGTTATAATACATAAATTTTTTGTTGAATAATTGAATCATTTTATTCTATTAGACATTCATTCAACCAGTTAATTTTTTAAAATTATTTTATTAATAAATAATACTCTATGAACAGAATAAAAAAGTAGAAGTTTTATTGTTTTTAACAATTGATAATGAAGAAAAAAGAGCTTAAATTCTGAACAGGTGTTTTTACGTCATCAACTAACTCATCAATTATAATAAAAAAGTTATACCTTATAGATTATTTTAAATAATATCAAAGAACAGAATTAATAAATTTAATTTGAGCAAAAATGAAAGTACTTATCTTCTTCTTATTTATTTTTTATTCCTTTGCACTTGATTACTATAAAGTACTTGGAGTGCCTCGTAATGCTAATGAAAAAGAAATTAAGAAGGCATATAGAGCATTGTCATTAAAATATCATCCAGATAAACCTACTGGTGATAAAGTTAAGTTTGAAGAGATTAATAAAGCTTATGAAGTTCTTTCTGACAAAAGGCAAAGAGAAATATATGATCATGGTGGAGAAGAAGCATTAAAGAATAATGGAGGAGGACCTCACATGAATGCACAAGATATTTTTGATAATTTCTTTAGAAGTAATGGAAATGAAGGGGGATTTCATTTTGAGAATGGAGGGTTTCATTTCAATTTTGGAGGTCAAGAACAACCCCAACGACCTAAGAAAACACCAGACATTCATATAGTGAAAGAAATTACTCTGGAAGAAGTTTATTACGGAGGGGACGTATTTGTAGAGTTTAAGAGAGAAAAGTTATGTAACCATTGTCATGGAACTAGAGCAGAAAATAGTCATGACATTGAAAATTGTCCTGTTTGTGGTGGAACTGGAGTGAAAATTGAAGCTATGGGAATGATGAGACAAAAAACACAATGTCCTAAATGTAATGGAACAGGTAAAATTATTAAAAATAAATGTCATGAGTGTCATGGTAAAGGTACGGTTACTAAATCTATGAAAGTCCCTGTTCATGTTAATAGAAGTGTTAGGGATGGAGATACTACCATTATTCCAGAATTTGCTAATGATGGTTATAAGATGAAACCAGGAGATGTTATTGTAAAATTTGTTACAAAACCTCACCCAGTATTTACAAGAAAAGGAAGTGATTTATATGCTAGTGTTACTGTTTCCTTATTAGAGTCATTGACTGGATTCCAACGGTCTATTAAACACTTAGATGGAAATACTATTACTGTTGCTCAACAAAAAATTACACCACATGGAACTGTTATTACTTTCGAAAATATGGGTCTTCCTTTGACAGCCCATTCTAATAGATATGGCAATCTTTATGTTACCGTTAATGTAATGTATCCAAATTCATTGTCTCAAAACCAAATCACAGAATTAAAGAAAATTTTGAATTAAAAAACAACTTTGTTTTATTTTGGTTTCACTCATACATTCATATAAAAAGAAGGAATTGTGATACAGTAATATAGTATTATAAAAATATAAACAGATTAACAAAGAATGAGAAGTTCATATCAATCAAGAAAATTAATGAGAGAAGAATGAGAAATAATAAAGAGTGATTGTATTAGTAGAATAAATTAACAGAACAATAACTAACAATATAATAATTAGAACATATGAATCAAAACAATCAAAACAACCAATACATAATTAGCAACAATAAGAAAAAGAATAATTTGTATTAACATAATACAACTAATTATCAATAATATTAAAGAAGAACAAACTAAAGGAAGAAGAAAATAAACAAAGAATTTAACAATCAATTTTTTTTGATATACACAACATTAAAACACAAGATTTTTATTTCATTTACATTAGATATTTAATAAAATTTAGTTTTAATTCAACTCTATTGATATTTCCAATTATTTATTATCATTTCTTCATTATTTCCAATTTATTTTTATCATATGCTATATCTCTATTTATCATTTAATATTTTCTTTGTTCATAATAACATCATTTTATTCATTTTTATTTAAATTATTTATTGATTATTCATTATTTATATTCTATTTTCTTTTTACATTATATCATTTTTCTTTAGTTTTATTAATGAAAGAATTAAAAACATTATCATTAATATATAATGATATTCAATAATTTAATACAAATACTCTTTTAATCATTTATTATCCTAATTCAGTTTATTGATATTTTTTATCCATTTCTCTTTTGAGTTATTCTTTTTACATATTCTTATATCTAATTTCTTTATTTAATATTTCAAAATAATATAATTTAATTTTAAAATAAATATCAAAATATACATAAAAATAAAAATGAAATATTCTACTGTTCAACGTATTAATAGTTATAAAAGAAAGGATAAAAAGCGAAATTCAATAAAGAATGTAACTTGTTCTAAACCATTATTTGATGGTTGTAATAATACTTACAAATTTCTTTAAAATAAATAAAAAGAAAGAAAATTGAATTAAACTTCAGTATAAATTCTAGGACAAACTGCCATTGACATTAATTCTTGGAATAATAATTTGCAAGCATATGGAATATCAACTTTTGAAATATGAGTTTTATCTTTACAACAAGAACATTGGAATGTACATGCTTTATGATTTGCTACTGCTGGCATATGACATTTATCACAAACATAAATTTGATACTTATCAGATGCAAGGAATAATCTTTCTTTTAATAGAGAACTAACACCATGTGAAATCATACAATCTCTCTCCATCTCCCCTAAACGTAATCCTCCATCTCTTGATCTTCCTTCTAGTGGTTGTCTTGTGAGAGTAGCATATGGTCCAGTTGCTCTTCCATGAACTTTATCATCTACAAGATGTTTTAATCGTTGATAATATGTTGGTCCAATATAAACAAGACTATCTAATTTTCTACCAGTATGTCCACTAAATAATGCCTCATATCCTCTTCTTTGATACTTTAGTTTATGTAATCTTTCTCCAATTCTATCAACTGTTACATCTTTTTGGAATGGTGTACCACTTTGAACATCTCCTACCAATGCCCCTACTTTTCCAAGTAAACATTCTACTAATTGTCCAACTGTCATACGAGATGGAATAGCATGTGGGTTCATAATGATGTCTGGTGAAATTCCTTCAATTGTAAATGGCATATCTTCTTGTCTATAAGTCATACCAACTGTTCCTTTTTGTCCATGTCTTGAAGAGAATTTATCTCCAATTTGTGGAATTCTTATACTTCTCATTTTAACTCGAATATATTTTGTTCCTGACTGAGCGTTAGTGACAACAACTTGATCAACAACACCATTTTCTCTTGGTTTATATCTTAATGAACAATCTTTTAATGTTTTATTTTTATTTTCATAAAATCCAGCAACCAAAATATCATCTGGTTTAACTTTAGTTCCGGGTGCTAAAATACCATCAACATCAACTTTTTCATATTTACTTATATCTTCAGTAATTTCTGAATTATTTTCACTTGGTTTAAAGAACATTAATTCCGTTGTTTCTGACTTTTTAGCATCTTCACTAAATGTTTTAAATGCCATTGATCTGAATAATCCTCTATCAATTGATCCTTGATTCATCATAACACTATCCTCTTGATTATAACCTGAATAACAACAAACAGCAACAATAGCATTAATTCCTGCTGGAATATGTCCAAATTTGACATATTCAGCTGCTCTTGTTGATACTAATGGTTTTTGTGGATAAAAAAGAACATGTCCTAATGAATCTAATCTTAATTGATAATTTGATGCATACACTCCAATTGCTTGTTTACCCATAGCACATTGATATGTATTTCTAGGAGATTGGTTATGGTCAGGGAATGGAATAATAGATCCTAATACTCCCATAACTAATGCTGGATGAATTTCACAATGAGTATAATTTTTACTTGAACCTCCTTCTGTATTATCTAAGTCTGATGGGAACATAGCAATCATAGACATTTCTTCTTCATCAGCATCAACATATTCAATAATTCCTTTTGATAAGAAATTATTCCAAAACTTTGTTTTTTCTGTTCCATTACTTTCATTATCTAATCTACTACATAACTCTGTAATTTGACTTTGCTTTAAATTTAATGTATAATGTCCATTATTATTACTTACTGTAAATAATGGTCTTGTACATCGACCAGCATCAGTGTAAATACGTAATTCTTTATGAAGTTGATCAAGAACCATAGACATTACCTTTTTTACTTTTCCTTTTGTACTATTCTTTCTATAATTCTTTAATTCTTCTAATAATTTTTGTGGTTGTTCAGAACATTTTAACCATACTCCATTTAAAAAGACTTTAGTAATATTATTCATTTTTTCTCCTGTACAATCATTAATATTACAAACATATTGACAATCTAATGCTTCTTTAATTTCATCAACTTGTTCATCTTGTAAAGCAACAGTAATTTGTGCCATTAATGATAACATTTTAACTAACCCACATGACTCTCCTTCTGGTGTTTCAGCTGGACAAATATATCCCCATTGTGTATTATGTAATTGTCTTGGTTTTTGTGTTTTTCTTTTTCCTTCAACTGGTGATGAAATTTTTCTTAAATATGCTAATGCTGATGTAAATGTTAATCTACTTAATACTTGTGCTACTCCATGTCTTGATTCTTTTCCTCCTGGCTGTGGCCAATTTCCTGTTCCTAATGCTTTTGTAAAATCTGTTGTAATTGTTGGAAATGAAAGTGGTTTAGCATATTCTAATGCTTTATTACTTGATAATTGTTTTTGTAATTGAGCTCTTGCTGTTTTCATCATTCGTTTTAATGAATTCTTAAATAATTCCATCATCAATCCTCCTGTCATTAACATTCTTTTTCTTGCTAAATGATCTCTATCATCTCCATTTCTTTTTCCTGTATAAACTGATAAGAAATGGTTTGTCATATATCCTAAAAATTGTGCTTTTGATTCAAAATTATCTGTTCCAATATGTGGAAGTAAATCTTTCTTTAATTTTTCTGTTCCATCTCTTTGTAATTTTTGTATATTTTCGGATACAATTTCAATTACTCCTTCTTTATTTGTTTTCTTTGAATGTTCTCCAAGCCATCTTCTTGCATCTTCTGTAGTTGTACATTCATTTGCTTGAATAGCAGTAGTAACAATATTATACATTTCATTATCATTTTCATCAAAGCAAATAGCCTCTACTATTTTTTGATCATTTTCATATCCTAATGCAACAAAAAGTAATACAACTGGAACATCACAATCCATACGACTAAGACTTAAAACAGGAACTTTAATTTTAAGTCTTGACTTATCTAATTTTGGATAATCCATTCTAATTTTATGGGTTCTAACTTCATCATTTGATGCTAAACTATTAATATTTCCTTCATATGGATATTTTAATTGATCACTCCCTTCAAAAACTAAAACTGTATTTGGTGCCATCTTTTCTTGTGCAATAACTACCTTTTCACTTCCTTTAATAATGAAATATCCACCTTGCTCAAATGAACATTCATCTTTATTAATCATAGATGGTTGTGTTACACATCTTTTTAATCTACAAACATCAGACTTTAACATAGATGGAATACTTGCTATATCAATTTTTGGTACCGTTGTAATTTCTTCTGCTCCATTTTTTCTTATTGTATCTTTGGCTTTTACTTCAAGTTGACAAGAATACGTTAAACTTCTTAATCTAGCCTCATGAGGGAATAAAGAAGCACTTGCCTTAGACCCAGTAGAAACTTTTGGAAAATGGAAAATTGGATCTGTTAATACAATTGTATGTTCTTCTTCATCATTAGCACTTATTCCTAAAACTTCTGCATTACTTATTTCAATTTTAGTTGTATCACTTGTAATAACATCCCTTACTTTTTTAATGAAATTATTATATGATGATAGCTGTTGTTTTACTAACCCATTTTCTTTAAAATGAGCATCAATTAAATACCAAAATTGTTCAGGTTGAATTTGTTGTGAGGGAAGATTTGCTTGCATTTTAAAAATTTCTTAAAAAGTTCTTGAATTTTTTTGTTTTCTCTTTTTTTTTTTCTCTTTTCTAACCCTTTTTTATTTTCTTAGTTTAAAAAATTCTTTTACTTCATATCAATGAGGGTAGATACTTTAGTTATTTTTCCTTTATATTGTATGATTGGATTTGTATTATACTCAGTTCAATCACAACATAACAATTATGTTTGTTTTAGTTTTTTTTACAACGTTGGTGTTATTTAATATTATTCATTATTAATATTTTTTTTAGGGAGATGACTCTCATATTACGTGTCAACAATCACCTTTTTATTATACTATTACTGGGTTACCTAAACAATGTGGTTGGAATGATTTTGACTATTACTTAATTATAACACTGATGATTTGTGATGTTATTTCTTCAATTCTTTGTTATTTGGTAAATAGTTCTTTGAAATATGTTTTAATGATTTTTGGTCAAATAACATTATTTTCTTTCATGTATCTTTATAAACATGCTTATGATGCACATGCATATTGTCAAAGCTTTATTTTATCCACATTGAAGACCGAAAAAAAAAGAATTATATGTAAAGATGATTCGTTTTATATTCTTGTTGGAATGATATTCTTTATTTCTCTATTACTAATATTCCATTCATTATGTTATATCATTAAAGACCCAAATGGAATTACAATGGGAGAATTAAATTTTGGTACTTCCATAAAAGAGCAAAGTACAGATAAATATGCACGAGATGTTCGTGTTGCAGAAAAACCAAAAACAATCAAAGAAAAATGTGATTAATCTTTAACTTTTTTTTTTCTTTTTTTTTATTGGTTTAACTTACATTACTATTTTATGGATATTATTAACGATTACCTAAATTGTTCTGTTTTAGTAGGAATTAATGGACAAGTAAATCCAGTGAATAGATTTCTTTTAGTTTTTGATATTTCTCAAAGTCATGTTGTTGAATGTAATGGAATTGTATTACCACCACATCTTTGTATTGGAACTATTTATGACCTTTTTGTTAAAGATGACGGAGTAATTACATTAGAATTAAAAAATGAAGTTGTAGATATACAAAAAGTTCAAGAGAGTTATTTCAATAATATCTTAATTTTTTTAAAGAATTGTTGTAAAATGGATGATGATTTAATACAACAGTCAATGGATGAAATGAAACTTCAATTATGGGAACATCATATACTAAAAACACAAGAAGATCATCTTTTATTTAAAAGACTAATTGAAAAGTCTCAAGAGTTAGTATTATTTAACTTAGTTTATCTTGAAAGTAATCAAATTAAATCAAGTCTATTTTTGTCGAAGAAAAAATTATTAGTTAGTAATTTTATTAAGAAAGCTCAGGATCAGTTAAAAATTAGTTTTTCTTCTATTACTAATCAAGGAATTAATCTTCCACCATTTATGACTGTTGGCTCATTTAAAAACTATTTTTATGGTTCTGATCTTTGTGTCACTGTTGTTTTGAAATGATTTTTTTATTGTTAATTATGGTTTTTTCTCTTTAAAAATGAACTATAAAATAATTACTGAAGAACTTAAATGGCAAACCCACTTAAAAGATATGATCCTGGACCTCAAATTCTTTACTGTTGTGTTGCGTTTAAAACAAATATTTTAGCAGAGTATTATGAAGTTTCTTTACCAGGGGCAGATAAAATTATTAAACAAATCTTAGCAAAGGCATCCATTGGAAAGAATGTTCTTCATCATGAATTGTTATCATTTTGTCTTTTAACAACAGACATTATTACAGTTATTACTATCACTGGAGAATCATTTCCACAAGAACGTGCATTTGATTTTATTGATGAGGTTGTTATTAATTTCTCAAAATTATTTAATACAGACCAATTAGCTACATTACCAACACGTTCATTAAATAATACTTTTGCTCCTATGATGAAACAAAAAATTGTTTGTTTTTCTTTTTTTAATAATTTATTTATTTAATAAAATACTTAATGCTACCAGAATCATTTTAATGATCTTACTAATGATCCATTAAATAAAATTCAACAAACATTAGACCAAACAGTTTCACAAGTAAATGAAAATGTAGATAAATTATTAAGTAGAGGAAGAGTATTAGATAATCTTGATGGAGAAAGTGATTTAATTATGAGAGATACAGAAGAATTATATAAACAATCAATAGAATTAAAGAGAAAATTTAAAAATAAGAACATAAGATTATATATTATTGTTGGAATGATAGTTTGTTTAATCATTTTTATTGGTATTTGGTCTTATTGTGGTATACGTTTTCAAAGGTGTCATAAATAATTCATTACTTATGTCTTTTTTTAATTCTAACCAAAACACTTTTAAAGAAAAAAATAAATCACTTTACTTTCCTTAAGTTACATCAAACCTGGAGCATATAATTCAGTTGGATGAGTTACCATATAGAATATAGTGTAAATTTGACCAGGAAGGAAGAAGAGAAGAGTTAAAATTAATGAAATCCAAAATCTCTTTTCACATTTTTCCATTAAATACATAGAAACTGGAGGAAGAATAAAAGCAAAAATTACTGTTAAGACACAATTACAAGTAATTTTAACCATGAGAAATAATAATTAATTAAAATAATGAGATGAAAGGGGTATTTATTTAAACCAGTCATAAAAAGAACAACTTTTTGTTGATGACGAAATTTCTAGAATATAGTTTTTAAATAATTTTTTTAACTATCATTTTTTCTTTGGAAACTTTTAAAACCAAAAAAAAAAAGAAGAAGAAAGTTTATGAGTCAAATTAATAAAAATAGTAAATATCTAAAAATAAATCAAATAAACTCATAAAGAATTTGAATTAAACTGGTGTATATCCTCCAGTTGTATCTTTTGTCTTTTGTTGAAGAATAACAATCATAACAGCACTGACAAAAAGAACTACAATAAAGAAACACCCAACTGCAAAATTTTGAAGTGAAGCATTACGAAGTGGTTGTGTTTTGATTTTACATGTCATATTTGGATTTAAACTACCAACATCAGAAGCACATAATGGTTTTTGTCTATAAACATCCCATCCACAACACCCAAACTTTTCTTCCCAAAGGGCAAGTGAACTACTCATTGATGCATTTGTTGCATTCCTCATATGGAAATATGTATATCCAAAATACCCAACTGTTGCTAATGCTGAAATAACAGCTAATGCAAGTCCAATATAAGAAACTATTCCCATTGTTGGTTTTGGTATTAATGAATATACACACAATATTATACCTAATAATCCCATTAATGCTGCAACAGTACATGTTTCAACAACAAAAGTATTTCTTGAATAATAGTTTAATGATGATTTAGCAAGTGTATTATTTTGTTCCATTTTTCGTATTGGACCTACAAATACTACACCAATCCATAAACCAGCAGCTATAAGAGTAAAAATACCCCATCCAAGTACAATGAATTGAATTACCTTCATATTCCTTTTTATTTAGTTCTCAGTTTATTTAGTTCTTTTTAATTTTTTTTTTCTTTAAAAAAGAAATTAAAAAAACTTAAAAAAAAAATTAACATGCAAGTTGCTGAATATTCATCATTGATAGATTCTACAATCAAACGAAAAGTTATCGAAGGGACAATTCCTCTAATTGTTAGAATTCCATTTAAGAATGAAGAGAAATTTACATTATATAATGCATCTCGGAATGAATATTTACCATTTTTATTAAAAAGTTCATTAACAGAATTTCTTGAAGAAGTAGAACAACCAATTAGTTCAGTTACTTATACAGTAAATGAACAAAATGTTAAATGGTATTTTCCTATTGGTGTAATATTTGATGCACTTCATAATGGTAGTTTACCAATGGAAATAACTATTGGAATTAGTCAAAACCAATCAACATTTCAACCATATGAAAATGAAGAAACAATCAAAAATTATCATATACAACAATTAAAAGAAAGTGTTTATTTACGTTATGGTTCTATTCAAACTATTAGACAATTAGCAGTTGAATCAATTACACCATTATGGGAATTTCATGCTCAAAATAAATTAGAAGAATATGAACAATTACTTAATCCAATACTTATTACAGGTGAAAATTGGCAAAATATTCCAATTCATTGGTATTTTGGTTCACAAAGAAGATACACTGACTGTATTCCTGTTATTATTAATGATCATTTAACAACACTCATTGAAGGTCTTCAAGTTTTTTTAAAAGAAAGAGATATAAATGATAATGACCCTCCTTCATTACAATTATTAAAAACAAATTCATTTGAACAATGTCCAAACCTTTGTATTGTCATACAAGGAATAACTATACCTCTTGACACACCCTTATTATGGCTTGCTTTAAATTTGAGTCATTCTGATTTATTCCTTCATGTTATCATAAGAAAAACTGATGAACTTTTAATCGTAATTTAAAATTTCTTTTATCATTTAATTTAATTCAACAACAAGCATTGCTGATGGATATAATTTTTCTTCTTCAAAACTTATTTCTTTATTTTCAAATCGTTTTTTTGGTATTAATCTAACTAGAGAATAATTTCTTGTAGCACTTTGATTAGCATCAACAAAGTCATATAATTTTTGTAATTTATCTTTTTTATTAAACCTCCTTTGAATTTTCTTTCCATTAGGAAATCTAACACTAATAATACAAGTGTCTTTTCCATTAGGTTCTTGTTCTTGTTCAAATATCTGCTTCTTTCTTTTCATGTCATTAAGAATTTCTTCTTTTTCTCTTTGTTTTTTCTTTTCTTCATTCTTTTGTCGTTCTTCTTCTTTTATTTTCTCTTCTTCTCTTCGAAGTAATTCTTCTTGTTTTTTCTGTTCTCTTTCTTCTTGTCTCTTTGCTTCTTCTAATGCTTTTTTGTATTCTTGTTCTTGTTCTTCCCTAACTCTTCTTCTTTCTTCTTCAACTCTTCGTTCTTCAATAATTTCATTAAATAAATTAGTATGTTGAATAGCAATTTTCATCAATGTATCACTTGTAAATTCATTGTGTTTTAATACTGTTAATAACTGACCTGAAACACCATTAAAAGGAAAGACAATAGAAATTGATGGAAATGACGCAATGTCATGTATTTCTTCAAGTTTATGTCCAATATCAGTATTAACATTTGAAATAAATATTAAATAATATTGATTAATAGTTTGAATGAGTTGGTTATCTGTTAAAAGTGAAGAAAGGGATTGAAGAGATAATGGAGATTGAGGTGAATGATGGAAAATTAACATCAATTTACATTGATTTTTACATTGTTGAAAGGTTTGTTGATAATTATTATTATAATCATTAAAAAGAGTAGTAAATTCTTCTTGATAAGAATCCAATTCATGTTTTAATTGTTTAAATCGATTTAATTGTAAGAAGTTAATTAAATATTCCATTAAGTGAAGTAATTTGAAATGAATGAACTAAAACGAGTTTAAAAAAAAAATTAGTTATTAAAAACAAAATGAAATATAACATTATTTGAAGTATAAAAATAAAAAAAGAAAATAGATTTTTATTCTCAAAATTGTATCTAAACAATATAAAAAAAAAATTAGTTAAAATAAAGAAGTTTTTAAAAAAGAATTATTAATTGTTAATTGAATCATTTTTATGACAACAACAGAAACAACAAGTTTTAAAGAAGAATTTAATGAGTTAATTCAATTAGAAGAAGAGATGAAAGAAAATGGGAAAAAATTTGAAAAGTATTATAGTATTTTTACACCTGAAGTTATCAAGAAAACAAAAATAAGTAAAGAAGAGTTAAATGAAATGTTTCCATCCAATTTAGAAACAATCAAATCAATTCATCTATCATTAAGTGAATCATTATATTCAATAAAAAAAATGTATGAAGAATATTTTCAAGGAAATGAAGAAAGAAAAGAAGTAATATCAGACATTATTATTAAAGTAGTAATGTTATATGATGAGAATTTAGATAATATTTTAGTTAATTATACGTCAGTATATCATAAATTATGTATTGCACTTTATGCATCAGAACATTTTTTCCCTAAATTACCTAAAAAAATAAAAATTAATAAAGAATATACATTAGCAATGGTTTATATTAAATACATAGAATATGTCTCAAATTTATTTAAAACATTTGTTGGTATTGTTCAACATCTTTCAGGAAATGATCCTAATTGGAATAAATCATATGACATTGTTTATGGTTTACAAATTATTGATTCTTCTCTTAAAGCAATTTATTCTACATATCCAAATATTATTAAAATTATGAATTTAAGAAAACATTTTAAATGTAGTGATTATTTTCCTACTGATCGTATGTTATTACATGAAGATCAAGTTATTCTTAAATCACTTAAAATTGAAGTCATTTCAGATGAAGAACTAAATCAACAATGGGTTCAACAATGTTTTGATGAATTAAATATCCCTATTTATTGCTTTTTATTTGAAGATACTATTTTATTAATTTCTTCTGATCAAAAACAACATCAACCATTACAATATTGGTTAAATGATTGTCAAATAGAAGAATTACCTGAAAATGAATGTCAAATTTTTGATCAAAGTGATGTAAAGAAAGAAACTACTATTTTATTATTTAATGATTTAACTCAAAAAAAAGAATGGATTGATATTGTTACTTCAACTCAAATCCAATGTAAATGTAAACGATTATTTGGTAAAAGTCTTGAAACATATATGAAAGAAAATGAACCTGATGAATCATTATTAATTCCACAAGCAATTGACCAATGTTTCTTTGTATTAGATGAAGAAGGAGTAAAAGATCCTTTTGTATTTAAAAGAAAAGGTGATGGAAAGATAATAAATAAGATTATTCCATTGATTAATTTAGGAAAAGATTTTGAAATACCTAACGCATTAATTGCAGCTGATATTATTAAGATTTATTTAAGAAATTTACCTGAACCATTACTTCCTTATGACTCAATTCCTGAACTTATTGAAGAAACACCAGAAAAAAATATTGTTTTAATCATTCAATATATTGATAAATTACCTTTATATAATAAAGCACTCTTAAATCGTTTAATGAAACTTTGTTATAGAATTTCATTAAATCATGAAGATACTCAAATGGATTCATTAACACTAGCAAAAATATTAGCACCAAATTTATGTTGGTCAAAAAATGAAGGAATTACTGGAAATATTTATACAATGGTTGAAATGTTAATTGCAGAATATCCTTCTATTTTTGAAATGATTGATAAAACTTTAGAAGAACGACAAACAGCTATTTTTGTTGCTAATAACAATGACGAAAAAGAATATTTTGAAGTAAAAGAAAAATTAAGACAAGAATTAGTAAATGAAGAAAATGGTGAACCAGAGCTAATAAATGATAAGAATGAAAGTAGTTATGATTCTGAAAATGAAACCAATTAAAATGTTTTTATAAAAATAATAATTAATCTTATTTTTTTTTAATTTATTTATCTTCAAGATGGTTATTATGATCAATTACATAAAAATACTTGTTCAATGCAATAGTATGTTCATCAGATGAATATTCTATTTTATGTAAATTTTCTGTAACACCAGACTCTTCTAATATATCAATGAAATTTTTAGCAAGTTCAGAATCATCATGAAGTAATTCAGTGATAATTTTTGTAACTGAATCAATAAAGGTAGAAATAAATTCTTTAGAATTTTGAATTAAACATTCAGCCATAATTGTTAATGCTTTAAATGTTAAATTATTTGAAATAATAAGAGCAATTTGATGAATAGGAGAAGTAGATAAAACATTAAGATAGAACCATCCAAATTCTATTTTAATATCAACAATTGAATCTGTATTTTCAGAGAAATCAAAATTTGATAACTTTTGAATCATTCGTTGTACTAAATTAACTTGTAATAAAACTGGAGTAACTGATTGATTCATTGCTATCATATTACTACACACATAACATAAATCAACAAATAATGATGGTGATGATAAATAAACTGTTTGACTTAAATTTCTAAAGAAGTCTGATTGTTGCATTAAACGAGTCATATATTTTTGATTAAAATCACTAATATTAACACAAATAGCAATACAATAATTTCTTGTCCATTGACTTTTTGAATTTAGTCCTGATGAAATTGTTTTGTATAATGTTGGAATTGATTTTGCTAATTTTTTAAAATTGATTTCTATTTGAGATAACATTGAAAGAATAAAGTATGTTGTATTAATACTTTCAATTCGTGGATATAATAAAGATAATAATGGAAATATATCTTCATAAATACTATTTGTTGGTGAAATAGATTGTTTAAATTCTACCGTAGTAATTTGATTTGTTTTTTGTGTTAATTCAACTTCCATATTATCTGATTTAATAGAACATTCATTATTTGATTCATCACAATATTTAGCAATTGCACCAATTAAAAATCCAATTTTTTGACAATAACCAATGTCTTGATAATATAATTGTAATCCTGTTTGAAGTGAATCTAAAAGTCCCATTTTTTTAAATACAGGATAAACACAATCATTATCTAATATGAGGTTAGATAAATACCACGCTGTTTGTGTTCTTATATTTGAGTTTTGACTTAATAATAAATTACGTATAATAAAAGTATGATCAACTTTTAATAAATAATCAAAAGAACCGTCAATAGATGCAATATTTGTTAGAAGTTTAAGTATTTTAAAAACAACTTCTTCACTTCCTTGTAAATGAATAAATATTAAATCAATACAATTATATACATAATAAACATCACTAAACTTAGAATAAAATAAATGTGTTGATATCAAGTCTATTGCTTCACTAACGTTTTCTTGTTTAAGCATTGGAAGTGTTTGTTGTAAAGGAATATCTGGTAATGAGTTTGTTCCTTGAATTCTTTTTACTTCTAACCTTCTTTCTCTTCTACTTTTCCTAAGTTCTGCAATTCCTTTTTCTCTACGTTTTAATTCTGAATCAATTTCAATTGTATCTCTCAAATTGCTCATTTATCTCTTTTCATTTTTAGTTTTTTTAACAGGGTTTTTTGTTATTTTTAATGAAAAATAAAAATGAAGAAAAGAATTTATAATTTGGTGGAAGTTGTTGATAAGATATTTTGTAAATAAGAATAGCATTCATCTAAGAAGTACCTAAAAAATTCTGCAACAACCATTGCTGGGACTACATCATCAAATTGAGAATCTCCTAATTCTATTTGACCCTAAAACACGTAAGAGAATAAATAGTATAATAGAAATAATAAAATAATAAAAACAAACCGAATCTTCAGCAACTTTTTGGAAGAGTCTCATAAATTCATCAACAGTAGATCCACTAAAATCTTCTACACGAAGTACTTGATATATTTCTTTAATATTAGCTGAAGTAAAAAATACTTCTTTTGATCCACTAAACATTTTAATACCACGACTTTCTTTAAATAATCTTAACATCCATTCAGTAATTTGATACTGACCTTGAGATTCTTGTAAAGTTTTCCAAAATTCTGTTGAAGCATATGCTTGAAACTTTCTAAGATAATCATATTCATTCTTAATTTTAAATTGGACAAACATTCCAGTAAATTCTAATAAATCTTCTCTATTAAAATAACCTTCTTTCTTTTTATCAATGAAATATAAAGATGCTAAATGATTAAATTCAAAATTATAGTCTCTTCTCATATATTTTTGATAATTTAATA